CACATCCCAGGAACTGGAGGACCCTGGCTCTTACAGGCACCACTGGGCATCCCATGTGTGCAGCCTGCCGCCTAGTGACCGATCTTGGAATCGCCCAGAAGCTGGTTCTGTAGGTGCAGGATGGCTGTAGAAGGAAGGGGTTGCCTTCGGAGGAGGGAAAAGGACAAGCTGTGGCAGATGACATTTCAGAAAGACTTCTGGGTAGTTATCTGGAGAACGGAAGGCATAGCCCACATATGGGAGCCAGGAGCAGCCAGGCAGACACTTTCATATACTCCAGAGACAGAGCCTGAACACAGGAGCCACCAAGCAGGTTCCACTACCTCCTTGGCCGCCCCATCTCCTGCAGGGACTCTAGCATTTGCCCACTGATTTTTTAAAAATTCATTTCTTGTTTTGTAAGACAGGGGCCTCGCTCTGCAGCCCAGGTTGGCCTCTTAATCTTCCTGCTTCAGTCTCCTGAACGCTGGGGGTGACGGGCAGGCATCAGTGAGCCTGGCTTCATTTTGGTTTGTTTCTTTGACACGAGTCTCATGCAGCCCAGGTTGGCCTCTAATTTGCTACATAGTTAAATTATTCTTTGAGTGTCAGATTCCCTGCTCTCTGCCTCAGGTGGACTGTTTCTTTTTCCAGACAGGGTTTCTCTGTGGCTTTGAAGCCTATCCTGGAACTAGCTCTTGTAGACCAGGCTGGCCTTGAACTCACAGAGATTCGCCTGCCTCTGCCTCCTGAGTGCTGGGATTGAAGGTGTGTACTGCTACCACCCGGCTTCAGGTGTGTTGTTTTAAAGGGGGAGTAAATAGGGGCGGGGTGCTAAGGTGTGTAACTTATCCATGCCCCTTGTAAGCTTCTGATAGCAAAGCCATCTGAGAAGACGGGCATCGGGTGGGCACCTCCACTGGCACCCCACCCCAGGACCCTGGTGCCAAGCACACACACAGCAGGCTCTAGGCAGATATTTTCGGAACCAGTTGGCCTCTAAGAAGGCTGACATGCTCTGGGGTCACATACTTGGGGTCTATTTGCTGGGTCAGGGCTGGGGGGGAGGGGACCTCAGCAACCAGAGTTAAAATCTCAAGTGTCCCAAAACACTTAGCATCATCTGGGGTAAAAAGCATTCTAGGGGGCCTGGAGAGATGGCTCAGCGGTTAAGAGCATTGCCTGCTCTTCCAAAGGTCCTGAGTTTTCAATTCCCGGCAACCACGTGGTGGCTCACAGCCATCTGTAATGGGGTCTGGCGCCCTCTTCTGGCCGGCAGATATGCACACAGACAGAATATTGTATACGTAATAAATAAATATTTTAAATATTTATTTAAATAATAAATAAATTTATTTAAATAAATAAATAATATTTAAATAAAATAAATATTTTAAAAAAGCATTCTAGGGGTGCTGAGATGGAAAGAGAGAGTGCGTGGTTGTCACGCTGGGGGTGTCCTAGTTTCTAGTGCTGTGGCAACAGCGACAGGGAGGAAGAAGGGCCATGTGACAGTTTCAAACCGCCGCCCGTCACTTTGGGGAAGTTGAGGCATCACCTCCCATCCAGTCCAGTGCAGAGAGAAACTAACACGCCCATTCTGCCTGCTCACTCACGCTTAGCTAGCTTGCTTCTCTCTTACACAGGGAGGGAATGGCACCGCCCACACTCAGGGTGGGAGGCAAATACAGAACTTGTGCCCCCGGGGCCAGCTGGATCTCTGCAAGCCCTCTCTGAAACTTGCTTCTAGCTGATTCTACGTTGTGTCTGGTTGACAGCCATAAAGAGCCAGTACAGGGGGCTTCCCAGAGAAGTTAGTGTGGCTGGGACAGAGTTGATTATGAAAGTGAGGCCCGGATGAGGCAGGAGAATGGCCAGGGCGACACACCACACACACACACACACACACACACACACACACACACACACACACACACACGATTGGCAGTGTAGGGTGAGTGAGACCTACAGAGGTCCTCCAAGGAACCAGGAGCCACCCTGAAGGGCCTGCAGGTGTAAGAGCTGCGTGTCAACCCTCACGGGTGCCACAGAATATTGCTGGCCAGACAGGTCTAAACCTCACAGACACATGGCTTCTTCTTCAAACAAATTTAATTCTTGAAGTCAGGTGTGACGCACACCTTTAATCTCACCCTTTAATTCGGGGACAGAGGCAGGTGGATCTCTGGGAATTTGAGGACAGCTTGATCTACATAGCAGGTTCCAGGACAGCCAAAGCTACAGAGAGACCCTGTCTTGAAAACCCAAACGTTGTTTATTTATCTATTTTTAAAGCAAAAGCTTTTAGAAATAGGGAGTGGTAGCAGACACCTGAACCCTAGCCCTGGAGAGGAGGTTGAGGCAGGATTGATTGACTAGGGTTTAAGGTCGGCTTGGGCTACACAGCAAGCCCCGTCTCAAACAGACAACAACAAAGGAGGGGCTGGAGAGATGGTTCAGTCAGTGAAGTGCAAACACAAGGATCTGAGTTTGAGTCTTTTTTTGTTCTGTTTTGTTTTGTGTTTTTTTGAGACAGGGTTTCTCTGTAGCTTTAGAGCCTGTCCTGAAACTTGCTCTTGTAGACCAGGCTGGCCTCAAACTTACAGAGATCTGCCTGCCTCTGCCTCCCGAGTGCTGGGATTAAAGGCGTGCGCCATCACCGCCTGGCGAATTTGAGTTTTAGTACCTTAAGAAAGCTGGGTGTGGTAGACAGGCAGACAGACAGACAGACACACACACACAGAACAAACAGAAAGGAACCTTTCCCAGCAGTCAGCAGGGGACGCTGTAAGTGGCCATCTCCTAGATCTGGACCTCAACAGGGTCCACCTCACCGTGGGGCGTCTCCAGAGCTCAGGCCTCTTCCACACCCCCCCTGGGGGAACCTTCCCATGCTAGTTCCCAGCACGCCCCAGATTGGGCAACCAGCTTTTGCAAGGGGGTTATTTCCACTCCCCAGCTTTCTATAAATGTGGAGAAAGATCAGTGGGCGTGCCAGCCTACTGGGTAAAAATACCCTGCATGACTGACGGCCAACAACGGATGGCATTGATCCTTGCACACTGCTCAGCAGGGGAAGAGGCCCCGAAGCCAACTGGACAGGCCTCCCGCTGTGTGGGTCCTTCTGAGAATGTTTTGGAACAAGCAAAGCTAGCTGACTGCCAAATGTTACACACTGAGAAGATGGTCACAATAATGGGGAGGTGACACTGGGGAAGTGGGGTCTGACTCCAAGTTTTGCTTTTTTTTTTTTTTTTTTTTTTTGAGACAGAATCCCACTATGTAGTCCTAGCTGCCCTGGAACTTTCTGTGTAAACCAGGCTGGCCTCAAAGTCACAAAGATCTATGTGTCTCCTCAGTGATGGGATAAAAAGTGTGCACCACCCCATCAGCCTTCTTTTAAGGCAGGGTCTTTTTAATATTTATTTATTATTATGTATACAATATTCTGTCTGTGTGTATGTCTGCAGGCCAGAAGAGGGCACCAGACATCATTACAGATGGTTGTGAGCCACCATGTGGCTGCCGGGAATTGAACTCAGGACCTTTGGAAGAGCAGGCAATGCTCTTAACCGCTGAGCCATCTCTCCAGCCCCCTAAGACAGGGTCTTATGTATAGCACAGGCTGGTCTTGAACTCATGATATAGCTGAAGATGACCTTGAACGCCTGATCCTTCTGCCTCTGCATCCCAGGCCTGAGATTAGAGGTGTTCAAGCAATGTGGGGGGACGAAGCTTCTTGCACACTGGGGGAACAGGAGCTGAACGTGGAAGGAGGCCGCAGGCCAGGCCAGAATTCCCACACACCCGTAAAAGCCAGGAAAAGACAAGCATCTGCTGGGCAAGAACCTCCACAGAACCCTAACCAGCTCGTCCCAACCCACTAGAGCTTCCAGACCCCCGAGCAAGGATGTCTGCCTCCAAGTGCTCCCGTTCCCTCTCTGGTGCAGCAGAAGCAGGCGCAGACCAGGAAAAGACACAGGAAGCTAGGCACAGAGGGGCATGTCTCTGGTCCCAGCCATGCCGAGGACAAGGATGGAGGATTCCCTGAGCTCAGAAGTTCACGACCGACCACCTGAAAAGCTCAGAAAGGTTGGCTATTCCTGGTCATAGAAAATCATAAATCTGGGTATGGTGGGGCATGCCTGCTACCCCAGCATTTGGGAGGCAGAGGCAGGGGGATGATGAGTTCTAGTCCTGGTTGGCCTTGTAAAGCTGGAGCCTGTCTTAAAAAAAGGCCAACAAAAATAAAAATATCCACCTTATATTGCTGTTTATGCTGCACAGTACCACGGAGGGGTTAACGTGAGGTAGAGGGGCAGGAAAAGAACGGTGCAAGTTGAAGAGGGAGTGTGGGGCCAAGGAGAGGGTTCAGTGGGTAAAGGAGTTTGCTGCCAAACCTGAGAAACTGAGTTCGATCCCCAGGCCCCACAGAGTGAGAAAAGAACCAACTGTTGCCGGTCCTCCAGCCTGCACACCTGGGCCAAGGCAACGGCCCCCCACCCAAAACTAAAATTAATTCTGGAAAGGGGAGAGGGTGTGGACCGTGGCAATCAGAGCTGCTTGATGCATTTTTCAGTGTTCTCGGTGCGAATTTCTTGTTCAGTTCCTAGTGAGTCCCTTAGGGGAAAAGCGTAGTTTTATTCTAAACCAAGGATACCAGGAGGAAACGCCCCCCTTGTTACGGCTTGAACTTGGGTCAAAACTTAAGACTCTTCCTCCCAACCCTTTTCCTAGCTCTTCCCGGGCCATGTGGGTGACGAGGATGCTCCTGCCCTGGGCACTGACTGTAGAAGACCGAGGGGCCCCATAGCACAGAGAAAGGACACAGCCAGCCCAACAACGCTGGTGCATCTGAGCCACGCACCACATCAGGCTTGAAGTGAAAGTGTCTAGGGGTGGGTGCTGGCCTGACACCAGGATACATGCTTGGCAGCCAGGGGGGAACACGACCTGAATGAGTGGAGAGGCCTGGACCCGGAGCCCCAGCCCTGCCCGGCAGACAGTCACGGAAGGCAGTGTTGAATTCGTGAAAAGATTTATTGCTTCAGTCATGAGTTCCAAAAGATGATAAAATTTCTCTTCCAGTAGAAAAAGGGGCAGATGCGGGCAATGAGCCTCCTTGTCCCCCACCGTCCAGGGAGGTGCACCAGGCAACCAGGCCAGATACCAGGGGACAAAGTGCCAGGGTGGATGGTCCACGCCTCTCTACCTTTGTCACCACACCTGAAAACTTAGGACCCTGAGGGGCCTGCCACCTTGGCCACTTGCAGCGGCCAGTTCAGTGTTTAGGTGACACGGCAGAGACTGGAGGAAAAGGGCCAGACACAGCTCCAGGGTGTGTGTGTAGACCCGTCGGGACCTGGAACTGCTTGCCTGGCCTTGGCACAGGGAGGCCAAAGTATGCCCAGTCCCTAGGAGTGACAGATCTGTCTTCTGTGGGGACTGAGGCTTTCAGCCTGAGGGAGGAAGACAGGGCAGCATGAAGTGGAGGGCCTGGGCAGGGCCAGCCCCCCACAGGAGGGGCCTGTGGCAGTTGTGGTCCCTGCAGCCTGGTTCACAGCCACTTAGACGAGAGCGTCTGTAGCCACCAGGCGGCCTCAGCAGCGACTCTGTCCCTGGACCCTGAGTGTTTCTGCACACGTCTGTGCACATGTGTGCCGTGTGGACAGGTGTGACATCTAGGGGCTCAGGCTGTGGCACTGGCAGGCTGTCCGCTGAGAGAGTCCTCAAGAAGCGGGGTGTAGGGACCAGGTGGCTGGTCTGACCAAGCTATCAGGTTTGGGGGGCTCGTTGTGTCCTTGGGACCCTGTGGAGAAAGAAGAGATTGAATCATTAGCTTGTCCCCTAGCCCTGCCCTGCCTGTCCCCTCCGCCCCACATCCCACCAGCACGGAACCGACCTCCTCCCCATCACAGTGCTGACTGCCGTGAACTGAGAGTCTCTGCTCTCTTACACATGGGGACGCCTTGGTCCTGTGGGTCACTGGGCCTCATCCCTTCCCTTTAGAGTTGGGAAAACTGAGGCCCAAGAGATTGGCAGGACAGAGTGAGGAGGGCAGTGGAGAGTCCAGAGTGGGTGTATGGCACTGTCGCCTAGGGAAACGAGGAATGGCCTAGATGTCTGTTCACAGGAAGACAAGTTTAAAACAGAGTCACACGGCAGGCCAGGACCAGCTGTTAAAAATGGCTCTTGTTCATGGAGGTGAGAGACTCCTTCCTACCAAATCCCTGCGATGGTGGCCTCTGGGCCTTAGGGACAGTAGAATAGGAAGGAGGAAGGGGAAAAAGTACGGAGGAGGGGGAGATGGCACAGATGTTGAAAGATTCAATCTGGAAAGATTAGGAAAATAAGAACACTGGGTATCTGTCTCTGTCCGTCCTCCCCTAGGACAGAGGGGCACTGTCACCCCACATCCCAGGCCTGCTGCACCCTGCAGCATGGAAGGAAACCACAGGGCAGACAGAGAGGGCTGTGGGTGTGGGAGCATCCTCTCCCTGGACCCAGGCCAGTCTCCCCTCCCCCTATAAGCCACAGCACCCCAGCATGTGAGAAAGTCTCACTCAGAAGTAAAAACGGGGTGCTGGGGGTGAAACTCAGAGATGGAACACACTCAGTAAAAGGGCTCTGGCTTCAATCTCCAGCACCCACAGACAGACAGACAGACAGACAGACAGAACCAGGAATAAAAGGGGGATACAAGGCATAGTAGTGGTATGTGCTTGGAATCTCAGTACTGGGGGACTGGGGCAAGAGGATTGCTTACAAGCTCAAAGCCAATCTGAGTGACTCAGCATGCCCTTGTTGCCAGAGAGTAAAACGAGAGTTGACTGTTGCTTGGTCTTTCCCAAGAAAAATACATGCAACAAATCCACAAGGCACTGGCCAGCCAGGGGAGCCAGGGCAGATTTCCCCTCCCCTCCCCCATCACGGTGTTTGACAGAGGACAATGGAGAATGGGAGACAGACCAATGAGAAACAGCGGTTCAGAGCACCTCCACAAAGGCCACTCCGTACCCTTGTGTGGTCACAGCACCTGACTACAAAGCCAACGCTGCCTGCCAACCCCCACCTTACAGTAAGGCCCAGAGGGAGAGCCTTTTCCTTATTCATACCCTTTCAAAGAGTCATACCCTTTGGGCTAGCAGTGGCCCTAATTTCCTTCCCTTTCAGCAACGGCAGGCACCCCCAGGGGCCACCCCCACACCCAGGTGCAAGACAAAGTGTGGGGCCTCACCAAGTCTTACTTGGCTAGGCAGTGAGGTGGGGTAACCCCCTCTGCAAGGACCCACGTGTCCACCCCACATGCTGAGGCTGGTCTTTGGAAGACACTGCCCTCTCTAGCCCATGGCCAGGGCTAGGGTGTCTCCTGGAGTGGGGACTCAAATCACTCTCCATAGCCCAAGGGAATCTTGAAGCCAAACAAAGACTGGACCAGGCTGGGAAAATAAAGAGGAACCCCAGGCTGGGAAAATAAAGAGGAACCCCCAGTTTCATTTATTTTATTGGGGTCTGGACAGGGTGAAGGCTGTGCTCTATCTGGACTAAAGGGACTATCCAATCTCTGCTTGGTGCCTGCATTTGCACCCTGGGAGTCCCCTACCTCCCACCCTGGATGCCTTCCCTGCCCTCTGGCAATACCAAATATCACCTGCAGAGGGCACCGCAGCTGGAAGGCAGCAAATACAAGACCTCACCCTCCACCCCTCCTGGAAGTCCCATTGGACGAGAACCCTTCTTCAGCTCCAAGGACACATGGGAACCCAGTGGGTTGCAGAGGCCCAGTCGGGCCTGCCCTCCCTCCTATGGGGAGGTGGCATCTACCAGGACACTCACACACCCACCAGAGTTCTGTTTCATCTTCTTCTCCAACAGCTGACTTTGCTGGCAGTAGCCAGCTGGCTCCCAGAATCCCAGGCGTTGAGCTGTGGCCTCCACCCTCCCAACTCCCTCCAAGGATGTGTTCACACCCAAGCAAGCTTAAGGGCTCAAATAGCAGCTTCTTCTGGGACACGACTCACCTTTGCTAACCTCAAATTGCAGGGCCCATAGCTCTCCCTGCCACTTCCCAGGCAGGGACACACCCTGCAGGGCTCGGCCTTCCCTTGGCCCTGAAGGTCTTGGAGAAGCGCTGCCCCGAATCCCTGCAAGGTGGGCTGCTGAGTGAGCCAGGCCGCCAGCTATACCTGCGTGGGCAGTGGGCGAGTCGCGAGGACCACCCACCCCAGTACTGCATAGGGCAGACAGCTCTGGACTGTTCTGAGCAGCCTTATACATCCTGTGTGCTCATCCTGAGATCCTATTCCAGGCCTGGGCCCGAGTATACAGCTGGCACTCAACCATGCTTAAATTACTTAAACCCTCATTCCAGACTGAAACCAGTGTGGCTTCTACACCAAAATACCCTCTGAGGTCCTGAAAAATACAGTTTCAAACCCTCTGGGCTTCCAGGACGCCCAGGGACCTGCATTTAGCCAACCGCGTGGGATGGAGCATGCACGGAGAAGCAACTGGTCTAACTTTATCTTCTCACAGGACCTCGTAAATGACGGTCACCGACTGAAGGTCCCAGAAACTGAGGCTAGACGGGCCCCACTGTGATGATGTCAGGAGGGTGGCTCTCCACGTGGATGACACCCAGACAGATCTACAGGTGGAGAGGGTCGAACAGGTCGATTGGCTACAGGCAAGATAGGGCAGAGGGAGGGGGTTACCTGGTACGCACCTACAGCTTGGCTTCTTGCAGCACCTTGCCCTTGGCAGCTGGTGACATCAGAGACTCAGAGTAGGCCTGAACGGCCTCCTTATCCTGGGAGCCCTTTTTACTAGCACTCCAAAATAAAAAGCATTTCTCCTGGAAGACAACCAAGCTCGTTTATATTCCGCGCGCGGGTCACTGGGGAAGGAGACCCTGGGCTCCCCCAGAAGCAGAGAGGCGAGCAGAGTCCTCCACCCTGCACCGCGGAGAACTGCCCCGGAAGATGGACAGAGCAGAGCATGGAGAGCCACCAATAGGCAGTGAGGGGCGGAGGTGGCCGCAGTCGGGCAAATGTGGAGAGAGCTTGGGTTTCTCTGGTCTGGGCTTGGTGGAGCTGGGCTGGACTTGAACCTAGGGCCTGGGGCAGGTTAAGCTCACTTAACCACTTCCCCAAGTACACAGAGTTTTTAATCAGGGGTAAATGTTAACATAATTGTGTTCCCCATAAGAATGACGTAGGGGTGAGTATGTTGTTTACCATCCAGCATGCAGTTAAAAAATGAGACACACATACACACAACACACATACACACACACACGAGGCCTAGTCTTGTAAGCACAAAGTTGGTAGGGTGTGGACTGCTGTTTTGGCCTCTAATGAAACCTGCAGAGCAATCAGCCTGGACCCCAGACCCCGAGGTGTAGTGAGAAGCCTTCTATTTTTGGATCCCTCTCTCTTCTGCAATGGTTGACGGGAAGAGGCTGGCCCAGCTCTCACTGGGCAGCAGCCGAGAAGAGCAAAAGCTGCCTAGGAGCCCAGCCCATGGTGTCAATCAGACACTCCAGGCTACAGTCAACCTGGAGAGGCTCCCAGATGTCCCTTCGAGATGACATGAGACCCGGGCGCCAGTGCTCGGAAAGGGAAGTGGGGTGCTGGCGGCCTGTTCTTCCTACAGCAAGCAAGCAAGCAAGCACACCTTCAGAAAGAAAACCAGCCGACTGACTGGGTGGGAGAGAAACAAGCAGAAAGTCTGTGGTCCCAGGACATCTCCCTGTGGGAAGCCATTGCCCCCCCCCTGCACTGACCCTCCCCCACCACAGCTGATCGTCACCCTGTCTGTCCTCAACTGTCCTGGCTTCAGAACGACAGCTATCAACATCAACGTCACGTAAAGAGACTTGGCCCTGAACTTCAAGCGGCATGTTCTGTTCATTTTTGTAACCCCAAGATCTATGGACACAGCCTCAAAAAAAAAAAAATCTCACCATGAGTGGATGTTTGGTCCTAAGATCAGAGGGAACTAGGGTTTTAGTCACACACACACACCCCTTACTTCCTGCATTTAGGGGCTGCATGCCCCAGGGTTACACTTTTCATTCAAATTTGCTTCCTTTCTTACATAAGTCACCCCCACCCATGTCTGCGCCACACTTTTCCTTTTATTTTTTTGTGACAAGCTTTCACGTAGCCCAGGCTGGCCTCAGACTTTACATGTAGCCAAGGATGGCTTTAAATTTCCAATCCTCCAGCCTCAACCTCCCTCCTAAATGCTGGGATTACAGGTGTGAGCCATCACACCTGGTGTGAAATAGTCACCAGATTTCAAGGATTAAATCTGGAAGAGACCGGAGAGAGCCTTTGTAGCATCGCACGCCTTCTCTGTTTTCTAAGTATCTATTTATGCGCGCAAGTATTTTGCTTGCCTGTATATGCACCACGTGCGTGACTGTTACATCTCCGGGGACGAGAGTTATAGATGGTCGTGAATCATCTTGTGAGTGCTGGGAATCAAACCTCAGGCCTCTGCAAGCAATAAGTGCACCCAGCCACCGAGCCAAGTCTCCATCTCTCCTTCCTTCCTTCCTTCCTTCCTTCCTTCCTTCCTTCCTTCCTTCCTTCCTTCCTTCCTTCCTCCCTCCCTCCCTCCCTCCCTTCCTTCCTCTCTTCCTCTCTCCCTCCCTCTTTCCTTATCTTTTCAGTACTTGTGATTGCTGTTTTTTCTGTCACTGTTGGGGACTGAATGCAAGGCCTTGCATTGGCTAACAAGAGCACTATTGCTGAGCTAACCCTTAACTCCATATTTTGATATATTTGGGCTAAACAAAATTTCTAACTAGATACACTTGTTTCTCTTGACTTGGAAAATTCAAATTCAGGAGCCCACATGTGACTCCTCCCATTTCCGGCTCACATCCAGTTCTGGCCCCTCCCTTTTGTTATCTTTTACCTTGGATAAACTGTCTTTTTTTTGTTTGGTCTTCCATTTCTTCTCTGACCAGGCCAGACCCTGCCTCCAACCTCCACCTCCAGTGGGTAACTCCACAGAGCTTGAATCAAGAGGTACCCACTTGCTGGTCAAATGACTGGGTACTTCTCTCAGCCCAGCACCCACCCGGGAGGGTCTCGGGCCTTCCAGCACAGACAGAGAAGAGTCACTGCAGGACGCCAGAGGAGCTAGAATGAGAGCCAGCGGCAGGAGAGAAACCCAGCCGGACAGAGTCCTGCCGCCCCGCCTACTTACCTGGCTGCGCAACTGGTAGATGATGGGCACCAGCAGCAGGAGGCCGCCCAGTCCCAGCAGCACGTACTGCGCATAGTGAAGCACCTGGGGCATCAGCACGAGCTGCGTGTAGAACGTGCTCAGGGGCTTGCCGCCCATGGCCCCGCTCTGCAGAGGGATGGATGAGCTAGTGAGGAGGGCCAGGCTGCACACAGCATCTCCCGGAACCCTCCCTTGTGTCTCGCCCCTCCCAAACTCAGACCAAAGAGTCCCAGAGCCCGGTTGCTTCAAGTTCAAGAAGAACTACATTTCCCAGCTGCCTTTGCTGTTCGCAGACCGATGTGATGAGGCACTGGCCAATCAACGGGAGGTATATCTGACCCCAAAGGCCCCCCCCCCCCCAAGATTCATCTCTTTCGCCAGTTAGAACCTAAAATTAGGACCTAAAGGGTCACGAGAAAGATCAACTGGCCTGGTGCCGAACTCCAGCACCGCCGCAGACAAAGAAGTGACCCTGATGAGAGGCGGGGGAAGGGGATGTTAGCAAACCCTGGAGATGGTTCAGTGGTTTAAAAGCACGGGCTGCTCTTCCAGGAAGCCCAGGCTCCTTTCCCAGCACCCACTTGCTGGCCCACAACCACCTGCAATTGCTGTTCCAAGGGGTCTGATGCTCTTTTCGGCCTCTGTGGGTACCAGGCTTTCTTGTGGAATACACACATACATACATGTAGGCTAAACTTCCATATGAATAACTACATTCAGGTGCCAGAAGTTAAGCTAACATGAGCATCAAAGTGAAATAAAATAAATAAGCCAGGCCCGCACTTCTCTCCACCTGCCTCACACACACACAGGCCCCACGCCCAGACTCCCTGCGGCCCGCAGAGCCCTCACCTGCTCAAACCACAGCAGGGGCAGGACCACGGGCTCAATCTTCCCTGTTTGCCTAGAGAGAAGAGGACACAAGGTGAGTGACGAAGGGTGTTGAGTCGCTCAGTAGAGCCTTTAGTTGTGTGCCAGGCCTTGTTCAATCAGCAACACCTCACAAAATGGGAGAGAAAGATGTAGCGGGAGCTTTGAAAGCAAGTTCAAGAACAGTCTGGGCTACATAAAACCCTGGTTCTAATTAATTAATTGGCGTGGCAAGAGTCAGCAGGTAATGGTGTTGGCCACCAAGCCTGATGACCTGAGTTCCATGCCCAGGTCCCACAAGGTGGAAGGAGAGAACACACTCCCAAAAGTTGTCCTGACCTCCACGTGTGCATTGTAGCATATGCCTGTACCCTCCCCCCACCATAATAAATACATTAAAAAAAAAAAAACAATGAATCTCACCCCACAGAAGCCTGGGTGGTTGTGTTTACAGCTGTCTACAGCTGAACTTGATCCCCACCACACAGGTCTAGATCCAGCAAGTACTTTCACATACCCCAGAGGCTAGAGGAGAAACCTTCGCAGGGCTGGAGAATGGTGCACTGGGTAACACTTTTGCTGTTCAAGTATATGAACCTGAGGTCAGATCCCGGAACCCAGATCGAAAGCTGTGTGTGGCTCTGAGCCACTGACCCCAGGGCTGAGAGGGGTAGAGACAGGGCTGGCTGGGGCTTCAGTGGGAAACCCTGTCTCGAGGGAAGAAAGTGTGTGTGAAACACACACGCACACACAGGTCATAGCCCCAAGAGCTGGCAGGCCTGAGCAGATTGCACCCTGAAGCTGAAGCTGAGGGGAAAGGGTTTAGCAATAACACAGCACTAGACTTCAGTTCCTTACTGTGACAGCTACGGCCAGAAGCTGACGATGCGGAGGGTGCTGGGGACAGGGGACAAAGAACTCCAATTCCTGCCACCTCTCCATAAATCTGTGAAGATTCTAAAGAGTATTTTAGTCAGTGGAACAGATCAGTGTTTGGAAGCTGGCCTCAGGAGCTCAAGTCAGCCCACTTTGGCCTCCAGTTTCAAGAGCCTGGGTGAGCCAGATCTAGGGCTGCAGGTCCAAGTTCAAGGCTACGATGGCTACAGAGTGAGTTCAAGAGGAGCCTGGGCCATTTAGCGAGACCCTGTGTCAAAATAAAAGCTGAAAAGAGGGCTGGCGGTATAACTCAGTGAGAGAGTGCTTTTCCAGCAACGAAGAGGAGGTGCGTGCATGTGCGTGCGTGTGTGTGTGTGTGTGTGTGTGTGTGTGTGTGTGCTCGCGCTGGAGTCTAGCTGGGTCAGGGTTTCCTGGCCTCAGTTTCCTCAACAGAAGGTCAGAGCTGGGTTCTGAGTATGAGACCTGGAGGTCGTGCTGAGGAAGAGCCCATCTCTTCCTCAATCACAGCCTTCTAAGTGGTCCCCAGGCCTTGGGTCTCTGACCCTGGGCGTGATCAGCTCCAAGGCTGGACTCTATTACCAAGTCTCTACCTGGCAAACGTGGAACGTGGCAGGAGCCTTCACAGTGTCAGTCTGTGCACAAAGTTAAAGTAAATCCAGGGAATGATGGTTTAGGGCACTGACTGCTCTTCCAGAAGACCCAGGCCTTCTCAGTGCTTAGCACCCACATAGTGGCTCACAACTGTCTGCAACTCCAGTTCCCTGGGACCCCACGCCCTCTTGTGGCCTCTGTGGGAACTGCACATACGTGGTGCACAGACATGCAAGCAGGCGACTATTCTATTGCAATCTTTGTAGTCTACTCCAGAAGAGGAAGACAGTTTGGGTTGACCAATCTGGCTGATGGAGAAGAGATCTTAGGAAAGGGGGAATGAAGGAGTGTCAGGGTGCAGGCTGGGTCTCCATCCAGAGCAAAGACGTTGTCATAGGGAAGACAGAAGTGGATGGACCTTTGCCTTGTCCCATGCCTTGCATTTGCCAATGCATGGAGCCTCCTGGTCCCTGATGCCTTCAGAAGCTGCGACTCCAACCTACTCACCCAATGCCCTTGACAGACTTGATGAAGAGGCTCAGCTGCAGCTTCACAGAACAGTTCATGGGGATCCCAGTGACCTGGAGCCAAAAACAGTGAGGAGAGCGGTAAGTCCATGGAGCCCATGGGGCTGGAGAGATGACTCTGAGGTTACAAGCACTGGCTGCTTTTCCAAAGGTCCTGAGTTCAATTCCCAGCAACCACATGGTGGCTCACAACCATCTGTAATGAGATCTGGTGCCCTCTTCTGGTGTGTGTATACACAATAAATCTTAAAACAACAACAACAACAACAACAACAAAAACCACGGAGGCCAGTTCCCAGCCTGCTCCAGTCCTGGGAGTCCTGGGGTCCTGAGGGACTTCTCCCCCACTTGAACAAGGCAACAGGCTGGGGCAGTCACCTTTCTAGAAATTTCCCACGCATGCTTGACAAAGGGATAGGACACCTGCCATCTCAAGGTCCCCTTGTCACCAAAGAGGTGATCTCCATCTGGATTTTTGTTTTTCAAGAAGTGTTTCTCTGTAGCTTTGGGTGCCCTGGAACTTGCTCTGTAGACCAGGCTGGCCTCAAACTCACAGAGATCTGCCAACCTCTGCCTCCTGAGTGCTGGGATTAAAGCCTTGTGCCACCCCTGCCCAGCTTGTTTTGAGACAGAATTTCACACAGCCCAGGCTAGAACCCAGCTGGCTACGTAACCAAGGATGATCCTGAACTCCGCACCTCCCTGCCTCCACCTTCTGGGGGCTGGCTCATGCCTAACTTTACACAGTGCTGGGATGGAGCCCAGGGCTTTGTGGGTGCTGGGCAAGTACTCCACCTACTGAGCTTAAATTCCCGCCCTCACACAGCTTCCTCAGACAGTGACTCCCGAGTGTGGGGCATGCAGTAAGGATGGCTTTTTCTTTTCTTTTTATTTTGTTTTTTGAGACAGAGTTTCTCTGTAGCTTTAGAGCCTGTCTTAGAACTAGCTTTTGTAGATCAGGCTGGCCTCGAACTCACAGAGATCCTCCTGCCTCTGCCTCCTCAGTGGTGGGATTAAAGGCATGCACCACCACTGCCTGGCTAGTATGGCTTTTTCAATCTGTTTACATTTCCCACTGGCTCAGAAGCTTAGCACAGGGCCCGATCCAGGGTGAATAGGGTTAAGTGCACAGCAGCTTGCGACCTTTTCTCTTGAGATGCAATAATGCAGGATCTGCCACTTCCTAGCCGAGGCGGCAGCAAAGCGCTTCCTGCACAAGGCGCTATTTTAAAACGCGATGCTTAAAAATCATCATACAAATAATCACCAGGAGAACTGACGCCCTCGTCACTTCACTCAGGGAGAAAATTCTAGAACAACATGAGAGAAGCTTGGTGAAGAGGCCTCGGTGTGAGGTTCCAACTTTGGGATGGGGCCCTGTGCAGACGGTTTGCTGAGACTGCAGCAAACCATGCGACTCTTGCACGGATGACCGAAGCCGAGGGCCACCTCTCCAGTCACAGCCACCCACAGCAGAGGGCAAGGACATCATTGCCTTTCCTTTGAGTCCAGCGCACCCAGGTCCCTCCTGTCCCCAGGGCAAAGGGGACTGGGCAAAGGCCTCCAGAAACTGGATATGGCTTTCAGACAGAGGTGCGGGGATCCTAACCCTGCATACAGCTTCACCGTGGGTGGGCTGAGCAACCCTCCCCGGGAACTCTGCCAGGTTGGGTGCCCAGTGTCAGTCTTGGAACCTGAGTTCCAGGGGTCCCCACTCCCTAAGCTAGGGTGTTGGCCTCACTGTGCCACACCCATTTGCTTAGACAGTTAATACTAGGCACCTGTGTCTTTGGGAGTCTGGAGCATGGATCCAGGGGCCCACCGGACAGGTCCCCAGTCAACACCCAGGCCCCTATCCCCAGGGGCTTTCTTGACATAAAATATTTCCTGTATGTCAGGTTTCTGGCTGGGGAGCTAGACATCAGACAACTTCCTCCCACGTCCCCATCCTTCCTCTGCAATAGCCCTCGGCTGTGAGCTAGGTGTGAAGACACACTTAGAAGCTGAGGCAGGAGGATTGCAAGTTGAAGCCCAGATGAAGGCCTAGCTAGAACCAGAGCACCTCACGTGTGAGAGGCCCAGGCTTCCATCACCATCCAGTAAAACAAAAAGGTTTTCACAAAATGCCTTCAGGGCGTCATGGGTGTCTGTGTAAGACAGGGATCCTGAGACTCCCCAAGGTAATGGTAAGGACAGCAGCCTGACTGGACACATCCTACAGTACCCAGAGGCAGAGAGAAGGGCTGTGCATACCAGAGAGGGCCTGTGTCTGAGAGTCACCCTCCTGGCCCTGGCTAGTGGATACAAGTTAACACAGGACAAATTCCCCACATGATTTCTCTGTGAGACATTGTGGCTCACACTGATGTCTTGAAATCTTTAGTGTCTTGACACTGTCAAGGGTATCTCTGGTGCAGGAGACATTCCAGCTGATATTTCTTAATTAATTTACCACCATATATCTTTTTTATAGGCCCCAATAAAAAAGTAATGACATCACTGAACTATGGAATTGGGGACCTTTGATGGCTCGAAGTTCTAGAAGTCACCACTGTGGAAGGAACTGGGCTCCCCTACCCAAGTCTGAGCCAGCTGTGTTGGGGGGGAGGGGTGATGAGAGGGAAGAGGAGCATGCAGCAACCCACAAGAACCAGCCCCAGACTCTAGCGGGGCACAGGCCTTACCGGATGAATGTCCAGGAACAAGGAATGCTCTTTTGGGTCAGGGTTCAGACCAAGCACAGCTTCGGAGAGCACAGGGTCCGCACTGTAGAAGTGAGGGTGTGACAGGAACAGGGGTGCGCCTGGAGGGGGAGAGAGACAGGGTCGGAAGACTGGCTGGGTACCAGACTTGCAGGACAAGGAAGGAAAGAGACCCACAGTCAGTAGGGGCATTCACAAGATGTGACATTGGTGACCAGGCAGGGAGAACCCCTTTTTTCACTGCATAAAGAAGTTGGGCACAGGTCACGAGGAGGGTGGATGGAGCCAGGGTGGCTGATTCAGTGGCAGGGGTGGGTGGAGGAGGGGAGAGGGCAGCTGCCACCGAGCGAGGGAAAGGCATGCCAGGTAGGAGTGTGGCAGAGGTGAGAGCAAGGAGGCCCTGGGGCCAGAGGTACAAGAGGGAATCATGGAAGATGAAAATGGAAAGGAAAATCAGGGTCACATGAATTTGAGAGGGGAAGCTGCGTCTGAATGCTAAGTCAGACACACGAGCTGCTTTTGCAGGCATCATAGCTCAGGGGTGCACATGGGCGGGTCTCTGACATCACAGGAGGTAAGGGGACAGGCCTGGTGAGAGATTCCCATCCGGGACCCTGAGACAGGACCTCACCACCAATACAGCCATCCCAGGACAAGGGCCCGATGTGTGAGTTACTAGTTACATAGGGTGTCTGAATTCTTTATGGTGCTCTGTTGACTTTGAGTTTTTTGAATGCTGATCAGTGAACAGCAGCTGCCGAGAGACACTAGATTATGGAAGGGACTGCTGGACGAAATCAGCCTATATGCCTCAAAGACATGTTGACCTCAGAATGGAAACCGGGATATATGTTACGGTGGGGAAGAGGTTTTGCTTTTGTTCCTTCAGGATACCATCAAAATCGATAAAGATTAGATTGGAACAGCAGAGACCTCTTGATTAGGAGAGGCAATAGCTCATCAAAGAGCAAGGCCATTCAACCTGCCAAACAGGGAGACTCCCTAAAGCTAAGTTGAGGCAGGGTTTTGTTTTTGTCTTTCCAGGAGAATAAAAACATCCAACTAAGGACTCTGAAGCCCACAGGACAAATGAGACTTCTGAAGAAGGAGGAATCACACAGAGAAAATGCCCCAGGAAAGAGCAAACTGTCCTAATGGTATAGCACACTTCCAACAGGGTAAAGACCTCATAAATCTTCCCAAATGTTTGTCTTTACTGTTCTCTACAGACATATAAGGCAAATGGCCTTTTTGTAGTTATAATTCAATTAAAAATTAAAGATGACCTTGGAATTGGAATGTGGCTCTCTCCTTTTCTAAACCCAAGTATGCTTTTTAAAGAAAAATCCAAAATCTCTGTCTCATGTCAAAGAAACACCTGGTATGGATAACAGAAAAACAAACATTAGGGACTATTCTATTGCCACTAATCTCATACTCCTTAGGTTTTATTTTGGCTCTCTAAAACTTTTCTTAAGGTATAAATATCTCAAAATTCATAAGATTAATATATTAATTATATATATATAATATATATATATCTGTCAATAATATGGTATTGGAGAAAACTAAGCAAAAGAGATTAGAGTCTAGGAACTCATTCTGAAAAGAAAAAATGATATAGGATTGATAGGTTAAAAGGGTAGATTACTGTATCTGCTTTTAAAGTAAAAAAGTAAATACTAGTCTCAAACAGTTTACATGGGTATGGATTTTGTATTTTTACACAAATTTAAGGTTATTTTTGTTATACTGTACTATATGTTTCCATGTTTTGTTCAAGATATTGTACCTATGAAGCTCATTTAAAAATGTAACGTAGGGGCTGGAGAGATGGCTCAGTGGTTTAGAGCACCGTCTGCTCTTCCAGAGGTCCTGAGTTCAATTCCCAGCAACCACATGGTGGCTTACAACCATCTGTAATGAGATCTGGCGCCCATACATGGAGGCAGAATGTTGTATACATAATAAATAAATAAATCTTTATAAAAAAAAAATAAAAATGTAACGTAGAGTTCTAGTCCTTGAAAACTATTAGGACAATAAAGAAATACAGAGGTAGTCATCTATAACAATCAAACTTATAGTCATGTTAGGTATATTTTCAAGGTCAATCAGAGACATATTTCAAATAGACAGATGGTCTTCAAACACTTCAGAGACCAGCAGAATATGACACTTTAATATTTTAATAACATAACGCTTTCCATAACAGTGAGACATGTCTGCTTTTGGCAGCACCAATTTATTTAAAAAAAAAAAAGATGATGGGTATTGAAGAAACTCCATATGGAATTTGCTTTCACTGTAGGAAAGTTTTCTGTTTGGCAAGAAACTGCTCTTGTCTTGACTGCTGACAGTATGCTGTCCAAATTAGACAAGCAAAACACAAAAGATGGCAACTGTCCAACTTTGCCAAGATGAGATAGGACAGTCCTTCAAAATTCCTGCTTCCCAGAAAAGTCTGTCAGCTATTCTAGGCCTGTAGGCCGAAGATGGATGCCCCAGCATTGCAGAGGAACCTTGGGTGACTGTCTCAGCAGCCAGCGGTTTCTGTCCATTTCTATAGTTTTAGAAGTTGTTGGTTCTACACTTCTTGTTTGCTCAGGTAGTATTATATCCTTCTCAGGTCTCTGACAGAGTTGAAGACAAAACAGTTATAGCTACAGTTTTCCTCGTTACCAAATTCAGAAAAGAAACTCACAAAAGGAAGTATAAAATGTATAAGCTTGAGATTCATAAAGTTTAAATTGTTTATCTAAGAAAATGCTTTGAGGAGAAAAAAAGATAGTTTTGGGTTGGTAATACAAGTTATGATATAAGTGGTTTAGGTATAAAACTTTGAACTCATTAATTTAAGATAGATAATAATTTCTCTAAATTTGCCAAATACAAATGGACTGGATATTGTAAATGAAATTCTTACCTGATAATTGTTCTTTTTTTATATAGTTTTACTATGTTAGAGTTAAAACCTTTTCTTTTTTATTTATACAAAAGTGGGAAATGTTGCAAGATATTTGAGTGCATTGTACATAGGTATGTCACTGTGACTGGTTTAATTAAAAACTAAATGGCCAAAAGCTAGGCCGGAGGTATAGGCAGGACTTCTGGGCAGAGAGAGCTCTGGGGAAAAAGAAGAAGGCGCTGCCAGCCGGGCACAGAGGAAGCAGGACATGCAGGAGGAGAGGTAAAAACCACAAGCCATGTGACATCATGTAGACTAGAAACGGGTTATTTGAAGTTGTAAGAGTTAGTTAGGGGGTGCTGGAGAGATGGCTCAGTGGTTAAGAGCATTGCCTGCTCCTCCAAAGGTCCTGAGTTCAATTCCCAGCAACCACATGGTGGCTCACAACCATCTATAATGAGATCTGGTGCCCTCTTCTGGCATACAAACATACATGGAAGGAATGTTGTATACATAATAAATAAATAAATCTTAAAAAAAAAAAAGAGTTAGTTAGGGTGCTGGAGAGATAGCTCAGTGGTTAAGAACACTGGCTGCTCTTCCAGAGGTCCTGAGTTCAATTCCCAGCAACCACATTGTGGCTTAGAACCATCTTTAATGAGATCTGGTGCCTGCTTCTGGCATGCAGTCGTATACATGCAGAAAGAACATTGTATATGGAATAAATAAATGAATCTTTAAAAAAAGAAAGAGTTAGAAACAAGCCTAAGCGAAGACCAAGCTTTTATAATTAATAAGAAGCCTCTGTGTCATTACTTGATAACTGGTTGATGACAGAGGACTCATTACGGTGGAGAACAGGAGTCCCTGAGAATCCAGGAGAGCCCACAGACCCTGTAAGGTCACCCAGTCTTGCCTTCAGCTTGGAAAATCCCGTCTCCATCCCTCCGATCCACTCTGAAAGGAGACACCAGCAAACACCAGAACCCCATTTCTACAGGAGGGACACCGTGGATCCTGCCACCTAGCCACACCTGGAAGGCACAGATTCCAGCAGGGTGTCATGGCTGCCGACACCGCCTGCTGCAGATGGCACACCCATGTGGCTTTCTAACAGCAGGTGTGCTTCATCTTCCTTTTTTATTTTCAAACACCCTCAGAGAGACGCACCCAGGCAATAAGTATAATTAATTTATAGCTTTATGATCCATGTATCCAGACTTAATTGCTTAGGATTACCCCAGTTGTGATTAAGGGACACTCCAGGAAAGGTCCCAAGACAGGGAGATGACACACGGGGAGTCCTGAGTCCAAGGAATTCTCGTGACCCAGAAGGGGAAACCTATGCGCATTCTTTATCGCCAGATAAAATGCCACAGAAAGGTGGACTCAGTCGGGTGCACCCTCACAGCATGTGCACGAATGTTCTAGAAGCACCCTTGTAATAGCGGAATGCCACGAGATAGCTCCGTGAGCCGGGAAGGGGTAGGGCAAGCGGAGCATAGTTCCACAACAAGCCAGAGGCCAAATTCAACCACCCACCGTCCTGCAGATGGACCTTATGGATGCGGTAGGGGCGGCATTAGGGAGTGAGGGGGAAAGAACACACAGCGTGACTCCATCTACATGAAGACTGGTGTGAGGCAGAGAGCCTGGAGACCAAAAGTCAGGCAGTGGGCAAGAGGAGCGGGAAACACTGCGCCCTACAAGGTCTGCCTCTTCGTGGGGTTGCTGTTGGCCACATGGCTGTGCTCCCTTTGCAGACTTCAAACTGCTTAGACCACTTAAGTCACCCCCTCCCCGTCCTTGTTTTTCTCCCGTTTAAAAAAGTAAGTGTTGGGGGTCGGGAAAATGGCTCAGTCAGTGAAGTGTCTCCTGCGCAAGCCTGAGGACCTGAGTTCAGGTCCCCAGCACTCGCACTGAAAGCCAGACGTGGCAGCACAGATCTGTAACCTCAGCACTGGGAGGCAGAGGCAGGTGAATCCCTAGAGCCCGCCAGGTCACAGATTAGTGAGAGCATCTGTCTCAAAAACTAAATAAATAGAGAGTGATTGAGGAAGACACCCAGCTCTGGCCTCCTTGCGTGCTCCTGCAAACACATGCTTGTACCCACACTCCCCTCGGGGAAAAAAAAGCGAAAGAACAAGCTACAGACACGGTACACTTAGACCCTCTGGCACATCTGAAATTCTGTCCCTTTCAACAGAGCTCTACGGGGCTGTCAGGATGTCGCTGCTCCTGTGGTGTGGTCTCGGTGACTAACTGGAGCAAGCTCTGGGACCGAGCACCAAGAGGAAGCCAGAGCTGGGGTTGTGGATACAGCTTCCTGCCCACAGGAAAGTCCTGTAGGGCTCTGCCCCGGAAACTTGAATCCCATGAACCGACACGTGCTGCAGTCAGGCCAGGCAGCTGCCGCAGCCGGCCCCAGACGTCTGTGCAGCAGGTGGCCTGGTGGGCTCTGTCTAACAAGGGGAACTTGTGGACTAGGATCCACCATTCCCTCACTTCTCTTCTTCCTGCCTCACAGCAGTATCCCCAGAGCCCGCTTCTCTAGCTACAAGACAGCGTTCCACCCAAACAGGCTCTGAAAGTCAGACCCAGTCAGAGAGAGGTTGTGTCCCACCAACCAGGTCCCCACCCTGCCTCAGGCCTTCCTGTTTCTGTCTGTGCCTAGCTCAACACTTTGTGAACAATGACTATAAGGCTGGGCATCCTGGATGGGGGAGGGGGCAAGGCACAAGGTTTGCAGTCCAGGGAGGGGGCAGGCAGGGAAGGGTTAAATAACTCAATAGCCCCAAGCAGGCACTAGGAAGGCCCTAAGAGAATGCACAGAGTGGGCCAAAGAGGACAGAAGATCAGGGAGGGCCTCTGAGAGGATATGAACAGAGGAAGCTTTTCATTTTAATTTGATTCACATCTGGTGCAACGTGAGCTGGCGAGGGACAGAGCGGACCACAGTAGCAGACGGGGAAGAAGCTGGGGAGGAAGGAGAAAGAATGTGCGTGCGGAGGGACCTGGAGCTGCCTAGGCCTGACCAGCAGGTGAGGGGTGAGGGGGTGTGGCCTGGAGCTGACACCCAGGTATCCAAACAGAGCAACAGAGGTGGGCATAGCAGGGTCTGGCACACGATTAGGACTCAGAGCGGACGCCAGGGGACACAGCCAGCACCAAGATTCACACACCAGGCTCGGCTGAAGAGGAGAGTTTTACACAACACCAGAACCGTCAGTTGGACTCTGCCAAGCTGTTGCTTCTCTGCAGGTGAACGGCCCCAGGGGTGCTCCCACCCACATCCCAGTGGGCAAAGGAATCACAGCCGCAGCCACCAGGCTAAAGATCGGCTGTCGCTCAGACTCTAGTCTCACAGTGGCCCCCAGCCAGGCAGTCTCTGGGGTCCTGAAAACATGAGCTGGGCAGAGGAGGAGGGTACAGAATGAAGCGTTTTGGCGGAGCTGGTGTCAGGGTACGTGCCTACCATCCCAGTGCTCAGACGGCAGGGGCAGGAAGGATGCCAAGTTAAAAGCGAACTTGGGCCATACTGTACTACCTGGTCTCAAACTGGATACTAGGTTGAAAGGAAGGGGCCCCAAGCTAAGGAGTGTGGTGCCTCCAGAAACAGCAAGGGGATGAGGGCAGACTCTTCTCCATGGGCAAGAAACAATGCCCACTGTTGGGATCTTAACCTCAGGGCTGGCCCCTTCGGACTTGGGAATGATAAAGCCCGCGGCTAATGAGAGCTGGTGGGACATTTATCAGGGTGGCATTATCTCTAGCTCCCTATCTGTAGCACTGAGCTCATCAGCGGTGCAGAGACCAGAGATTAATGGGACTGCAAGCTGGCAGCAGATAAAATCCTGGTGCCACCCTCTCGCCCCAGTCTGGAGGCAGGGAAGCAGTGCGGAAGACACTTACCAAACCTGCAGGTGCTGACGTTCTGAATGCCAGACTCGAGGCACGGACAGAAGCCTTCATTGGGTGGGTAGACGGACCCATTAGCAAACAAAGTCTTGGGGGCCGTGAAGCGATAGGTGGGGATGCCTTCAAACACCCCTGAATTGTGGTAGGTGAGCTTCATGGACCTGCAGGGAGGAGGCAGTAACTATTCCCTTAGTGCTCAACTTAGCAGGAGAACCAGGGGCTCATAGTCATTCTTGGCTACACAGCAAGTTCAAGGCCAGCCTAGATGATATGACACTCTGTCGCAAAAAAAATCAAAATAAAATAATAATAATAATAATAACAACAATAAAACGTTGTGAGCAAAGTTGCACCTACACTGCCCACCTGGTAAATTTTCTCCTTGTTCCCCAGACAATAAAGAAAGCCAGCACTGCACTGTCCGGGTGCACTAGGTGCGGTCCCCTGAGGTAATCTCACGTTTACAGAGCCCCTGTCCATTCACAGTGAAATGCCATTCTCTCCCCTCTCTCTTCAAGACAGGGTTTCTCTATGGCTGTCCTGGAACGTGCTCATAGACCAGGCTGGCCTCGAACTCACAGAGATCCACCTGCCTCTGCCTCCTGAGTGCTGGGATTAAAGGTGTGCGCCACCACCGCCCGGCACCATGCTCTCTGGATAGGGACTGAAGCACAGAGGACTGGGGGACTAGGGCTTTGGGCAATGGTCTCCTGTGGATGCTGAGGAACAAGCAATCACCGGGGTCCCTACTGTCAACCTGTAGTAGGGTACCACCCCCAGCCTCCCTCACCCCTCCTGTCTCACTCCACCCACCAAGGGCCTCTGAGGTGCTGTTCAAACATACCCCTTCCTGCCCCAGGAACTTTGGAGCCCACCTCTCTCTCAGCCTGGAATAAACCCATACACATCAGACTTCAGCTCTCCGGGTCCCCCTTGCCCACCCTCACTCCTCTCTGTCCATTCACCCCATGGTCTAATCTCAATCACACTCCTGATTGGAAACAAGGATTGGGTGACCCACTCTGTCCATAGTCAGCACCACACACACACACACACACACACACACACACACACACACACACACATCTGCCCAATCCTCAAAACTAGGAGAGTCCAGAGCACTGGTGTGGTGGCTTACAGCTTTAATCCTAGGATTGGAGAGATGGTGGCAGGAGGATCTTTATCAGTTCCAGCAGCCAGGGCTACACAGCGAGACCCATCTCAAGACAAACAAGAGTCCAAATGGGATGAACTGCAAGAGGATAAGACACTGGATCTCTCTCTCTTTATGTAGCCCTGCAGTCTGTCTATGTAACCCTGAAACTCATTACATAGACCAGGCTGGCCTCAAACTCAAAGGGATCCACTTGCCTCTGCCTTGAGTGGTGAGATGAAAGGCGTGCGCCGCCACTGCCTGGCTGGCACCCAGATTTCTAAGACTTGATACTAAACAAAAGCTCTTCTCAGTAATGTTTAGAATAATATTTTAGATAAATAAAATAATCTAACAAATAAATAAATATTTTAGCCAAATAAAATATTATTTTCACACAGTGTGATGGTAAGTTTGGTCAATTTGACATATCTAGAATTTCCTGCAAAGAGGCTCTCAATAGGAGAGTGTCTAGATCAGGCTAGCCTATGAAACTGTCTTAATTCCCTTAATCGTTGTGGGAAGACCAAGTCCACAGTGGGTGGCACCATTCCCTAAATCTGGATCATGGGCTGTATGACAGTGGAGCCAGCTATCTGAGCCCTAGGCTCAGTTTAACTCTCTGCTCTTGTAAGTGAACTGACTAGCTGCCTGGAGTTTGGGCTTCAGTCCCCACGCCCACCCACAAGGATAGATAGTAACCTGAAATTACAAGCATGGTTTGTTTTTTATTTATGTGGCAGCACCAACTCAGAAGATCTTATCAGGTCGATGTTAAATTCCCTGATTTTGAACCTTGTGATTGTGTAAGAAAACATCTTTGTTTTTAAAGAACACCCCCTGAAGGGTTGATGGAAAGGGACCTGGCCTGCATCCCACTCTCAAGAGATTCCAGGAGAGAGCACACAGAGGAAGGGTGTGGAGCAATGGTTCCAAAGATGAGGAAAGGAGAAAACAGAGAGCAACTGGCTGCCATGTGGGTGAATGTACAAGAGTCCTGCGGTCAAGGGCTGCTCTCAGGCGTGCGACTGGATTGGGGAATTCTTTAAGAAGTGGGTCTATGCCTGGTTGTGGTGGTGCACGCCTCTAATCCCAGCACTTGTGGGAGGGAGAGGCCGGTGGATCTCTGTGAGTTCGAGGCCAGTCTCTCCTACAGGCTAGTTCTAGGACAGCCAAGGCCACACAGAGAGACCCTGTCTCGAAAACAAGCAAACCATGTGGGATCTAAAGGTAGGGCTTCAGGTCATTCAGGGTGGCCTTGACAGGGGCTGTGTGATCCCAGGCTCTTCCTCAGTTTCATGCTAAGCATCTTGCTCAGTCACAGGTTCATTAGAAGCACTAACCTGGCGGAACCCAGGGCTTCACGTAAACCAAGCAAGTGCTGCATGACCGAGCCACATCCCCGGGGCTCTCACCACATAGCACTGCCTGCAAGATCTTCAAAAGCATCTTGTGCCTGCACTGAAAGCTCAGAACCTGGGAGGGAAATGCATCTTTCCTTTCCCTTTGTCTCACAGGTATAGGTATCTATGTCATGGGTGTGTTTATATGTGTAAATGTGTGCACATGTGTGTGTTGTAGGCCAGACACCAACACTGGATTTCTTTTTCAGTCATTCTTCCACCTCTTTTTTGAGATGGTCTTGCCGTGAACCTGGAGCGCATCCATTCTGCCACGTTGGACAGCTTTCCAGCTCTCTCCCGCCTCCGCCTCCCCAATGCTGGGTTCCTAGGTAAACGCTGCTGCTAAGTTCTGAGGACTGAACTTAGGTTCTCTTGCTAATAGTGAATCCTTTACAGACCGAGCCTTCCCCAGCCCTGAGCCATCTCAATCACCTCTGTCACTGACAGAGGCCAAGCTGAAGATGTTTCCTCTAAGTCTGGAATCCTGTTTGGGGACTGGGGCATGACTGGGGGAAGAGCACTTACTTAGTGTATGTGAGGCTCCGGGTTCCATTATCAGCGCATGTGCACATGCACACAAACACACACACACGTGCACATACACAAAAATGGGCTGGAGAGATGGCTCAATGGTTAAGGGCACTTACAGCTCTTCTAGGAAGACTTAAGTTCGGTTCCCAGCCCCCACGCTGGGCAGCTCACAACCCACCTATAACACAAGCTCCAGGTGATCTGACACCTTCTTCTGGCCTCCACAAGCACCCACGTGCATGCACACAGACCCACACAGATACACATAGTTAAAAAATAGCAATACATTTTTAAAAGTAACACAGCTCTGCTTTGGAAAGCGCCCAATGGGACACGAGCACCGAGGCACAGACTTTGCTCACCCATCATGGCTGTGCTCACACCTGGCACGGAGCACAGTTGCCTGTGTTAGCTGGAGAGGCAGAGGGCTCAAAGGTCAACCCGATGAATTCCCAGGCCAAGGTCACCTCCAGCGTGGCCAGAATGGAACACCAGCTAGGGCACCACTCGGGAATGAGCCCAGAGACCCACCACGTCTCCCCAGGCCACAGTTGGGACCCTAGGATGGTGGAGCACAAGCTACAAGGCCCCAGCACATCTCTGAGGCAGGGTTGTTGGAAATTGGTAGACTGAGCAGGAACTGCACCCAGCAGTCAGAGATCTAGGCTCCTGGAGACCCCAGGCCTCCAGCTCTACTTCACAGTTAGCCTCAGACCTTGATCTTTTCCTGCCATTGCCCCCCATCGCCACCCTCAGCAGCCACGGGCTCACAGCCTCTCTGGGAAAAAGTCAGGCTACATGCTGCTTCCACTCTTGGACGCCAGCGGGGGTGGGAGGGGCGCTGTTTGGGGGAGGTTGATGACCCCTTAAGGTGCAACTCCTCAAGCAACCAAAATCCAAAATAAATCCCCTGCCCAGTCACCTCTGCCAGGTGTTTTGTCCCAGTGACAAGAAAAACTGAGCCATAGCACGCAGAGGGCCAGGCCCGCACTCCCTAGGAGCAGAAGAGGTAGGGAGTCCCCATGCGAGCGTTACCTGCAGGCCTCCGGGCTGAAGAATTCCAGTGACGACTGGGGTGTCATGAATGGTGCCCACATCTGCCCGGAAGTCCCGTTGATCATGTTGCACTGTTCCGAGTGCCAATAGTTGATCTGTGGGCGGACAGGACGAGATGCAGCCTGAGAGACAGCCGAGGCCTGCGCCTAATGCATGCCTCTGTGCAGATGTCGGCATACTCAACCCGGGCACAGAGCAGGCTGTGTAGACAGACCATCAAGCCCAGCTTCCTGCCCCCCCCCCAACCAGCGGAGCCTGAACACACAGCATTGTTGGGGACTCTGTTAAGTCATCTGTACAACGGGTCTTTCGCCCACATCTTCCTGCTCCCTCCCCCAAAAGTCAACATACACACCCTGCAAACAAGGGGAGCTGGGACATGCCAGCCAGGGGAGGTATTAAGGTGACAACAGGAACAGCTGAAGACCTAGAAATGGAATCCATCAGAGTGCCTACCTCTAATCAGGGAGGCTAGCGCTCCGAACCAATACTCAAGACAGCCAGAGTGGTGCATGCCCTAGAGCCCAGCGCTTGGGAGGCAGAGGTGGGAGGATCTCTTGTGAGTTTGAGACCAGCCTGGTCTGTATAGTGAGTTCCAGGCTAGTCAGGGCTATGCAGTGAGATCCTGTCTGCGAAACAAAAGAGTAAACCACGCGTGCACTTTCCACTTTTCTCTGCAGGGTGAGCTCTTCCGATCAGGCTTCTCACTGTAGAAGAAGCTGGCTGATGTGGACAGCACCCACTAAGAATGGTGGCTGCCTGGGTGTGGTGGCAAACACATCTATGATTTAAGCACTGGGGAGGCAATTGAGACGGGAGGATTGAAAGTTTGAAGCCAGCCTGGGATACAAAATGAGACCTTATTTCAAAATAAAAATTTAGCGGAGTGGTGGTGGCAGACGCTTTTAATCCCAGCACTTGGGAGGCAGAGGCAGGAGGATCTCTGTGAGTTTGAGGCCAGCCTGGGCTACAGCATGAGTTCTAGGATAGTTAGGGCTGTTACATAGTGAAACCCTGTCTCAAAAAATAAATAAATAAATAAATAAATAAATAAATAAATAAATAAATAAATAAATAAATAAATAAATAAATAAATGGAGGAGGGGGAGGAGGAGGAGGGTAGGACCAGTATGATGGCTCAGCAGGGAAAGCTTGCCTAGAATCCCCCAGTGAAGGGCTAATGGTAGAGTCTCTGCCTAGACTCCCCAAGGGAGGGCCTGGGAACAGAGTTCAGTGTTGGCATGCCTACAACAATCCCTCACTGAAGGACTGGGGGTGTGGCTCAGTGGCAGAGTCCCCGTGGAGGATGCACAAGGCCTGGGCTCCATCTTCAGTGACTGACAAACAATAACAATACAAAAACACAATATACACAAAGATGTCCTAAGGAGAAGAGCCAACTGCAAAGTAGCACACAACCGGATTTCTGTGTGTTCAAAGAAGGAAGGAAAACACATTTCTCTGGATACACAGAGGTGCGGTGGTGGGTAAAGGGCCAGGAAGCTGGTCCCACAAACAGCGCTGGGGGTTTCCGGGTGGGTCTAGGCAAGGTGCTGGGCCTCCATTGTCTTATCTTTATGGGAATGTCTTCCTGTCTGCCTTGTAAACGAGAACGCAAGGCAGAAGAGTGAAGAGTTCCCAGCAGAAGCTTTCAAGGGGCAGTTCCTGGACCTACGACGTCCCCGGGTGACCCTGACGCCCTCTCGAGAGCGCTTGCCGTCCCCCATTGTCCCCAATCTAGTCCCTGCTTCAGAAGATAGGGACTGTCTCCCCTCCGGCTCACCTTGCTGAGTCCATTCCATTTGTCCACCAGGTGAATCCTGCTGAAGTTCTGGACGCCCGTAAACACAGTGAAGACACCGGAGTCCGAGTCATTCATCTGTGGACAGGCGGAGAACAGCGCCCTTAGCCCGGGATTGGGGGCCCCGCCTGTTCTTCAGCTATGGACAGTTCCCCTCACTACCCCTCACTACTGACTCAGTGATGGGGACAGGACCCAGGGCCTTGTACATGCCGGGCAAGTGCTTGGCCACTGGACCACACCCCCAGCCTTTTTTTTAACTTCACATTTTGAGACAGGGTCTCACTAAATTGTCCAGGCTGGTTTTGAACTTGCCATGCTCCTGCCTCATACTCCCATGTACAGAAATGACAAGCCTACTCCATCTGACCCAGGACCTAACTAAGAATAAAAAGGGATTTAAGTGGGGAATGGTGGCACACATTTTAATCCCAGCACTCAGGGGGCAGAGGCAGGTGGATCTATGAGTTCAAGGCCAGCCTGGTCTACATAGTGAATTCCAGGGCAGCCATAGCTATATAGAAAGACCCTGTCTCAAAACAAAGAAAGAAAAAAAAGGGGGGGGATAAAGCACTTAATACAAATTCCCCAGGGGAAAGAATGCCACGGAAGGATCTAGAAGCTCAATGGAAGGGGCCAGCATGGAAGAATGGATCAGAGGTCACAGAAGCCAATAGCTCTGTTAATCCCAGATCGGCTAAGCGGAATGGCTGGGGAGCAGAACTTGGTGGAATGTGCTCTGTCTCCTCGCCTGTCCCCACAGGAGCCCCTATTCAAGAGTCCCAACTCAGCTGTGAGGAAGAATGGGAAGGACAGGCGCAGAAACAGGGCTTCACCCGGGGCTTCTGACACCGGGCATTCAACCTGCTGCCCTTAGTCCACCTTGTTACATGTCCACCACACGGGGTCCTCACCTGGTCACTGGAGATGCAGCGCCTTACCCATAGCCTGTTCTCCACAAGACTGTATATGTATTTCTATTTTACGTGTATGAAAGAGTCTTTCGCCTGCATGTTATGTCTACGCATGCAGTGTCTGAGAAAGCCAGAAGAGGGCGTCAGATCCAACTGGAGCTACAGATGGCTGTGAGCCACCTTGTGGGTGCTGGGAATAGAATCTGGGTCCTCTTGAAGAGCAGCCAGTGCTTTTAACCACTGAGCAGTAAATTTCATCTAAGCTCCGTACAACAGGTCCTGGAGGTGTGGGTGACTGGGTCACGCCACTGACCCTTACTTCAAGCCCATGTCATTCAGCAGACCCCCTCAGAAGAAAACTGAGCTGGAGCAGGGAGCCAGGGTCAGGGGTCAGGGGCCTCAGGTTATGGATGGTCAAGACTGAGAATAAGGGAGCACCTCTAAGTAGCACTTAACGGGTTATTTAAGGTATGTGTCTCGAGAATCCAGGCTTCCTCCAGCAAAGCCTCAAATTTCTAAGCTAAACCAGTCACGCACCCCTTGAACCAGATCAAGCCACACCTGAATGCAATAGTGGCATTTTCTGTTATATGAGCTGCCGATTTCCACAATTTTACTTAAGCTGGTTTGGGTTAGGGTCTTCACCCGACAGCTGTCTTTCACAGCAGTCTGTGTGACCGGAAGACACTTACCCCAACAAACAGGCCAAACTTGCCCTTGATGGGGAACATATCTGGGAAGTATTTGTTGATAAAATTCACGAAGGGATCATCGTAGCCCCACAGGATCTCACCAACCGTGCGGTTCATAAAGGCACGCTGGCCCATGGTGGCCAGCCCCAGGGTCATCATCAGCTTCAGGCCTGAGGACTTGTCTTCCATCATTACCGAACCCCCCTGCAAAGTCAAGGACATGGGGCTAGGGAGGTGGATATGTTTCCCTCCTCCACCTTCATCAGGTGTCAGGCAAAGAGCCCGGGCCCTCAATGTGGACCCTTCTCTGGTCCTTGTTGCCAGGGGTATTTTCCCAGGCAGGCACGAAGCTCAGGCCAGGCATTCAGAAGCCCTCCTCAGCCACTGTACCTGCAGAGCCACACCTGAGGCCTGGCAGGAGCCAATGAGGCACCAGGAGATGCTCTGCAGAGCTGGGACACAGAGAAGGAGGTCCCCAGGCTGTCCCTCAACCTGAGGGCAGCTGAGGCTGTTGCCAAGGTTAGGAGCAGGCCTGCCAGAGAAGAGGACCCGCAAAGCTCTGTTTACAACTAGGATGCCAACCCCACGCTACCAGCAACATGAGCCCAGAAAACGGAGCAAACTGAGACAGTCTCCCCAAACCCTGCAGTCCCCTGTTCTAGGTTTTTACCACAAGGTCTCAAGATGTAGTCCAGGTGGACTTGGAACTCAGCATCCTCCTTCCTCAGCCTCTTTGTGGGGATTCTAACCCACTTTTCATGTCTCCTTCCCACCTCAACCGGGAGTCCAGGACTTCCACTTCCCCCAGGGTCAAAGCACCCTGAGTGCAGCTGCAGATATAGTTTTTGTGTTTGCTTTCCTCTGCAGCATGCATCGGGGCCTTGGTTTTTCCAAAGGCCGCCCAACCAAAAGCCACTTTCCGTCTCCAGGGCAACACATAGCTGGACTTTCCGGGTATTTTCATTGGGCATGCTACGTTGCCCCCCCCCCCACAGGTCCCCTTCATTATCCGTAATCGACACAGAGTTTCTATTGTTTATTGGTGGGGTGCCATAGCTCATATATGGAGATCAAAGGATAACTTGTGGGAGTCCTGTGGGTCCTGGAGGTTATTAAACTCAACCCACAAGGGTTAGTGGCAGGCACCTTCTACCCACTGGGTCAGCCTGCTGGCCCAGCACGAACTGCTACTGTTTTTTAATACCACGTTCCAGATGTGGTGACCTTAGCACACCTTAGTCCCAGGCACTTGAGGTGGAGGCAGACAGATCTCCGCGAGTTCAAAGTCAGCCTGGTCTACATAATGAGTTGCGGGAGAGCCTGGGCTGCATAGTGAGGCTCTGTCTCAAGATAATGAAAATAAACAAACAAATAAATAAATAAAAATAAAAAACAAAAATTCTCCCTCCGGCCCCGTGGGTCTTGGGGACATCTCTGACAACAGACCTGGGGTTGACAGGCAGGGAGGCTGAGGGGCAAAGCCAGCCAGCAGCTAACATGAAAGCTAGTGTTTTTGACAGTTTCCTATGCCTGGGGCTGGGGCTGGGGAATCAAAAGAATCTTCCAAAAGGTATGAAAGTCAGACCATGGGGTCTGACCCTGGCCTGGTGGGGCTGGCCCAGCTGGTGTCTAGGACTTTGTCCTTGGGGAAGGGTCTCCGGGCCCCTCTCTCTCTTGCTTCCTCCCCAGGACAGCTGGGACTGCTCAGAGGTGAGTGGCTTCCAGCATGCACTGAGGTACTGATTCAGCAGCTCCCAACACAGTGTCCTCAATATGCTCTTCCCGACTCCCTCCTGCCTAGCCCACATGATCCTACCAAACTGGTCGCCAGTGGGGCTGACCTTCAGGCTTCATCAGGGACCACAATGGGGGTTCCAGAGTTTCAGAAGGGAAGTAAGGCAATGAGAAGAATAGGGTGGTCCTGAGAGCGGGGGAGAAAGCAGGGGAGGCGGGGGGTAGACACAAGGCCACAGCCTCACCAGGACCAGGATGTTAGGCAGTACGATGTAGTCACTCTCGGAGCCCCGGGACCTGTCGGGCTGGAAATGAAGGCTGCGGTGCTCCACGAAGGACACGGTGTCATTGTCGTTGAAGGTAATGTTGGCCTTATGTCTGTATTCCCTGTGGAGAGACATTGGATCAGCTGGGTGTGTGAAGCCATATGGAAGCTCCCATCAGCTCCCAGCACACCCTGACAGCCGGGGACCCCAGAGCGTCGGTGCGCTGGTGCCCAACAGCACCAAGGCCAGGTCCTTGAACCCACCCACAGTGGGTACTATCATCTTCATCTCACAGACGGGGAAACAGGCGTACAGAAGTAAAGCACCTTGATCAGGAGTGGAAGACCAAGCAGCCACTCTTGAGTCCATAGTTTCAACCATGAGAGCCCAGGACTGGGACATGTGCCACTGAATGCAAACACCTTTTGGGCCTCAGCTTTTGCATCGGTAGGGTGCACATCAGCAAGAGCACACCCATTGGGAACCAAGGAGAGAGTTGCCGGCAGGCAAGCCCTAGGCCCTACAGTACCGTAAGCTGGCTTCCTTGCTGTCCCCAGTGCCACCATTCTCCCACCTCAGGGCTTTTGTACTGTTCATCCTACCGTTCCAGGGCCACTGTCCCCTTCCATCCTTGAAGTCCCCCCTATAGGCCCCCTAAAACACAAGCCCCCCGTGCTCTCTGTCCCCTTTCTTATGTGCCATGTTAACTGGTTTCCTGCACCACTGCCTAACTCTCCTGACTCCATAGCAGTCATTTTGCCCCTTTTGTACCCTCTGTGCCCACCCGCCCCCATGAACACACACACACACACACACACACACACACACACACACACACGTTAGCACTCAGCCCAAGTCCACAGCATCACCTCCACCCACCACAGCCCCACCCCGCCCCGCCTGGCCCTCACCTGTAGACATAGGGTCCACGCTCCCGCACTACCGGCTTCTCGCCCTTTAGGATCTGGTCGGGGTTGACCACCTCGAAGAAGTAGATGGACAAATAGAAGGGGACGGGAATCTCCTTCCACATCGCAAAAGACAGGCTGCTGGGGTCTATGCGGACATTCTGTAGGGAGACACAGGGAGGCGCATGAGGAGGGGCTTCCCAACCTAAGGTTCACAGCAGCTGCCTGAGACTGGCCGCTGCCAAGGGCCCCAAAAGCACACCAGGAAAGAAAGGTGGCTGTGGTGGTCTGAATGAGAATGGCTCCCGTGGGCTTATGTATTTGTATGCTTAGTCCCAGCCGGTGAACTGTTTGAAAGATTAGGAGGTGTGGCCTTTTGGAGAAGGTAGGTTGCTAGGGGTGGGCTTTGAGACTTCAAAAGCCCACTCCACAGCCCAAAGCAGGGTGGTGGTGGTGGTGCTTGTCTTTAATCACGGGGCACTCGGGAGGCAGAAGCCGGAGGATCTCTTTGAATTCAAGGCCAGACTGGTCTACAGAGTGAGTTCCAGGACAGCCAGGGTTCGCAGAGAAAACCTGTCTAGAAAAACAAAACCAAACAAAAGCCTCCTCTAGGTCCAGGGTAGTCCTCCCTCTCTGCCCATGGATGTAAGGTCTCAGCTATTCCTTGAACACCATGCCCACATTACCTGCTGTCATGCTCCCCACCATGAGGAAATGGATTAAGCCTCTGAGGCTGTAAACAAGCCTCCAGTTAAATACTTTCTTTTCTAAGAGTTGCTTTGGTCATGGTATCTCTTCCCAGCAAAACAAACACTGGCTAAGACAGTGCTCTTCAGGGGAGGCGCTCTTAGGACTGGAGCCCTGCACGGGTAGCCGTGACTCGGTGGCATTTCCACTTCCATTCAGTCAGTCATTCATCCATTAAGCCATTCATTCATTCATTACATTCATTTCACTTTTCATTGTTTATTCCCTCATTCCTTTACTAATCCATTTGTTCCTTTATCGGCTCATTCCTTCCTTCCTTCACTCATTCCCTCATCAAGCATGCTATGAGCAACTACCCTTGACAGGTTAGGTTCCAGGAGTCGCAGACAGTGGGAACGAGACAGACTTGTCTGTCTCCAGCCTTGTGGGGCTTTTTACAGAATTAGGGAAACACAGGCTCTGTGCATTGGGGGGGGGGGGGGGGGGGGG